CTGATAACCTGAAGTTTCCCTCGAAGAAATTTGTTTTTTTTTTTTAGAGAAACTGGAGTCATAGCCGGCAGCACAAATTTTTCCTCCAATAAAAGATCGTTAAGGTATCAATCAAGGAAGACTTCACGAGTTTTTCTGAAAGACGTCATGGAATTAAAACACTACAGCATTACTTTATCCTCTCTCGTCAGGCGAGCACTCAACCCAACCTGCTCAATCTTAATTTGTTTTTCCCGCGAAGGTGGCGGCGTCCTCGCTCCAGGCTTTCTCCGTTCTCTTTACCGCCGCGTCCAGGGTATCTTAAGGTCCCTAATGGCAGACTACAAGGAGGCGACGAAAGAAAGCATTGACAGATGCCATCCATCATCTGATCTCCGATCCGGAAACAGGTTAAGAATTTCCCTGCAGTTCTAGTTCTAGTCTGAATATTGAGCAAATCTTTTTTAATTATCATTTATCTTATTTATTTGTATATTTATATATTTTATATTTATTGAGAAATAATTTTATTTTTTATTTTTATTCTATTATTGTATTTCTGATATTGTAATCTATTTAATTTGTATTGACTTGATGCGAAAGCGTTGGCCATTAATAAATGTAGATGTAGATGTATATCCCCAACCCTTCCCCGGACACTCCTGCTAGTCAGTTTGTTTTGTGACTGTTCGCTTCTTCCTCCTTCCCGATGAGAAAATGTGTATCATCACTTTGAAGATCACTGACCAATCATGAAGCTCGTTATTATTAGCTTTGGGCCTGCTTCCCCGGGCTAAGATCACTTTTCAACGGTACAAGCCTTGTCAGAAACAAATAAAATTTCTTTCTTTTTTTTTTTTGCCTTTGCTTCTCACGAATTTCTGGACGTGTAGTTTCTGGGATACAAGCATAGGCGTCATTGTTGACTGGGATTCTATATATCTGTAATCGAGTGACGATTGGCAGAAACTGATAAAAATTAAGAGCTTTTTTTTGTCGGTTCTGTGGTGAGGTCCTGATTTTCAGTTCATTGTTATCTCTTGTGTTCATATCATACAGTACAGAAGTAAAGATAGGTTGACTGAAAAAACGCTCTAATCGCTTAAACGTAGTCAAGAAATGACGCAAAAACAACACTTCACAAGGTAAATGAATTTCACAGGAAGTTAGTTTTCTTTATTTTATTTTTAACTCCTATCCAAATGCTTATATTTTGCTACCAAGAGGACTTTAACGGAGACTGGGTCTCCTGTGGTGATACATCAGAAGGGAATATTAAAAGGAAGAGCAGCCTGCTACATTTCCTTGTCAACGACCCAGATGCGAGTACGCCGAAATTTGGCTAACAACAAACACGCCAACGGAAAGGACACCATAGCAGCAGTACGACAATTGCGATCTAAGCATCACCTATACATAATGCCGTGCTATGTACATTGAGCACTCCGCTCCGTGGAAGGTTACCACCACTATCGCCTATTTCAATATAAAGGATTCATCAACCC